CTGTATAAACTTCGTTGAAGGTAGAATGACATTTAAACCAAATTTGTTGTAAGGGAGATAGACATTGCTTAGAGTTGCAGATATTGGCAGTTCGAGCCATTTTCGTATATATTTAGTAGCAATACCGTCCAAAGTCTCGCAAACCCATGTTTGAGATATATCAGTCATTGTGAAGTTCCATGAGATTTTCGAGAGCAAGTAGCGACTGTATAACAGGATTTTATTTCGGGGGTGCAAATGTAATTCATCTATTTTAGATATGATATTATTAAACAAGTCAATATATCCGATTGGTGTTTTTCATATATATATATATATATATATATATATATATATATATATATATATATATATATATATATATATATATATATATATATATATATATATACTCTATCTTTATGATATTGAGCACTCTTTGCGTTTTGTATTCATAAACCTACTCGTATATATATATATATATATATAGTTTTTCGTTTTACCTCAAAAACCACAACAGTCTGTTTCATCCGTATAGGAATCATCAGGTGGTCTGATGATTCCTATACGGATGAAACAGACTGTTGTGGTTTTTGAGGTAAAACGAAAAACTATATTACGCTCTATCTATATGGTATTGAGCACTGTTTGTGTTTCGTAAACCAAAATCTTAAGCTATATATATATATATATATATATATATTTACAAATATATATTGTACATTTTTGCCGTGATTGCTAGTATCCTTATACTTTCAGATATATGTGGACACGATGCTATCTAGTTTATCATTAACTCGGGTTTTGCCTATGTGAGAAACAGTGAAGTGCCAAGAGATTTTGGAAAGTACATAACGACTGTATAAGAGAATTTTGTTTTTCGGATGTAACGGTAGATCATCAATTTCATTCAGGATATTAGTAAGCGTGTCATATACTTCAGATTTGTGATCTTAGTCAGACATGTTGAAATCAAAATAGCGTTCTAAGTAGCGAAATGATGTACCAAGTTCTACATGTGGTACAAGACAGTTATTTATAAATAGTTTTGGGAGATACTGAATGGACTTGGTTAATTGTTTCCTAATGCCAAATGTTGAGCATTTGTCTACATGTATTATGATTTGAGCCTACTGACACCAGATTGTAAAGCGATTGATGAGCATTTGGTTTTCTTTTTCTTGGCCGCTAACAACAGCCACGTCGTCTTCAAACTGAAACCAATGAATAGGATTTAATGGGATGCCGTTTTCGCTGGATTTCCAAAATCCAAGTTGACGGTATTTTTCCGATTTAATATGTTGGATAAGTGTATGGAAAGACATGTTGAATAAAAGAGGACTGAGGCAAGTATTGAACTCTTCAGTTATTATGGAAGTTTGGAAATCGGTGTAAAGGCTACTGACAAGATTCTTATAATTATGTGATCGGGAATGTGAGTGGTGATATTCAAGGACCGCATAAATAAGGTTATGGTAGACTTCGCCGAATGCATTTTTGAGATATAATAGAGTTATGATAAGTGATCGTTGTTTTACTCGCACTTTATTAATGATATGTGCCAACTGTGCTGTGTGTTTTAGTGTTCCTGAGAGTTTTGGAGTGAAACCTTTCTGTATGTTCTGTTCAGTGTAATTTTTTTCTGCAAGAAACTTAAATGTACATGGTGAGCCAGACGGTTTTATTTTACGGATGACATTTGTAATCTCTTGATGGGTTGAGGGGTCAAGATGAAAAGGCGTCTGAGGAGATGCAAATTTTGGGATCCAACTCGGTATGTTGAATGTTTTAGTTGGGCTAATCGCGGACAATGTTTTGGTAAAATATGATGTAGGCCTACTTTGCGCTAGGTTAAATGATGGAAATGAGTTGGTGTTCTTTTTGGAAATCGTTTAACGAACCCCCAGAAGTTTTTACCATTTATATACTATCGTGATCAATATTTGCAGACGCATGACTATCAGTGATATTTGGGTCCGTATTATTAGACTTATTAAGAATGTTGCGCAGTTTCTTTGCGAGGAACTTGATCTCCAAGATATCTCCGTTTTCTAATTTTAATTCCTTTAAAGATTTTTTCAAATCTTTAGTTGAAAAGCTTTCATATTTTCTTTGGTATTGAACATCATTATGATTGTTGACATATCCAAAATTCTCGCTGAAATAGTTACAGACGACTGTTGCCATGGTGTTAATGTTATTATTTAAATCGCGCGGTGTGATTGGAAGATTTGAAAAAGTTAGTTTGAACAAGTCGTTAGCTGCAGTTGACCATTGTAATGGCGATTTGGGTAGTTTGATTCCTTTTTTTAAGTCAGGGAAGATTTCTTGCGTGGTTATATATGATATTTCAGAGTTAACTGGGTCTACATTATCCTCATTCTGATGTTCGGTTAATACTTCAGACATTTGTTGTTGTAGCTCGTCTTAAAGGTCATCAATAACGATGCAGCTTCGTAGGTGCATTTTAAGACCTCGCGCCCCTTTGCAGACTTTACCACAGCAACATTTTACAGCCTTGTAAGATTCAACCGACAAACATTATTGTGAAGGCATTTCTATAGCAGGAATAACATTTACTCTGGTTTCTTGCCCATATTCGACATATTCCACTTTGCTTTTACAGCGCCACGAGTGACGGCCCAACGATACAGAATCCTTGCCACAAAATCCACATATTATTAGCGTTGAAAACAACGCAAGCAAGTTTACACGAATCATTGATTGATTAGAAGTACAAAAACCAAAATGTGACGTTAATACGATCAATTCAAGTAAAGTTTTTCGTTGAAACTAAGGACATGCATGTACAGAGAACGTGTATACGCCACTCGGCTCGATGTCTTATCAATAATAGTAATAATGATAATTATATTGAAAGATAATTATATTGATATTAATATTGAAATTATATACTGTACGTATATACACAATTATAAATCTCGCTAACTTTTAACACGACGCGTAGCGGAGTGTTTTATATGTGATAAAACACGTCGACTACAAGTGCTTTAAATAGCTTAAAAAACGACTCATCTTATACGAGTTCATTGGCGAAGTAATTTTTTAAATAAACTTTGTCTAAACCGAGAAAATCAAAGCTAAAGTTTATGTAAATTAACATGATTTTTTATCACATATAAAACCACGACACGCTTATGATTTTTCTTTGCGTTTTGCTCCTGACTTATTAATGAGTTTTTTGAATATATATATATATATATATATATATATATATATATATATATATATATATATATATATATATATATATATATATATATATATATATATATTAACAATGAGTATCCTTAAATGTTCAGTAATTATGTATATTAATAATGAGTATCCTTAAATGTTCAGTATTTACGAATTTGACCAGTCCTTATCTCTGCAACAAAGTATATAATATGCTGTCCTAATCGCGATAGACATACTTTTCCTGATAGCGAAATATTGGTGTCTTTTATCGAAACCTAGATCACTCAACATATTTAAAGGGGAATGACATTCTTTTGAGAAAATGTCTAAAGAATTAATTGACAAATTTACAAATTTTACAGATTAAATTTTTTCTTTTGCTGTGTAATGGGATCTTCGTATCTTCTTCTTTTCCGATCAACATTTGTTTGGAGATTAGACTCATAACCAACAGAAAGTTCGCGAATATAGAGACAGTCCGAGTTGATGGATAGAAGTAGGACTGGGTAGAATGTGTCACCAGTTACAATTGATGGGCTGTTATAACCAGCCGGGAAGATCGACGAAAAGATTCGAGTTTTTTACAGGTTATGGGGTTTGTGCGACGAAGTTCAGAACAGAATCATGTCTCCATGTAAATCGTGGGAGGTACGCTTGACATCCAGCGACTACGTGTAAAAGGGTTTCAGGGTTTAAGCAGATGGAGCAATAAGAGTTGGACAATATTCCCCATTTAGTAATTAGGTTTCTACGAGTTGGAAGTGAGTTATTGATGTAACGGATGGTGAAATTATAGATGTTCTTTGGGAGGTTTGATTGGGATTTAGACCATATGCCATTTAATTTTGACAGTGAAAACTTAATGACATTTGAGAAGAAGGAGCCTTGCAAAATCAGATGATTCTGCAATTTGTCTTCTTGTCCGGAGGTAAAAGTTTTAAGGACTTCCTTTGTCGATGTGTAAACGTCGTACTGAATGTTTTTGCTTTCAGATGTTGTTTTCCAGAGGTCTTTTATGGAATGATTTGGAGAGGTCTTTAAGGCGTTACGAGCAACTGTTTGGCACTGAGCAAACTTAATTGACGGCGGGTAGATATTTAGACCAAACTTGTTACTGGTAAGGTAGACGATAGATAAAGTTCCTGATATAGGTATTTCAAGCCATTTACGTACGTACTTGTTCACCACAGAATCCATATTTTCAGAGACCTAGTATTTGATAAGGTGTTTACAGTAAAATGCCAGGAATGTTTGGATAAGAGGTATTTACTAACGACTATTTAGCAAAAGTTTGTTTTTCGGATGCAAATGTTTGAGATCAATTTCAGACATAACGTCGTCCATGAGAGTGATTAGCTCTTGTTTGTGTTCTTTTTCGGACATACTGAAGTCGGGGTATTTTCCCAAGTATCGAAACGACTCTCCAATTTTAGTGGCAGGTATCAATTCATTGTTAATCAGAAGTTTAGGTAAATATGGATAGATTTTGTCAGACTTTTCCTAATCCCAAAAGTTGAACATTTATCAACCCTGACAATCATGTTAGACCACTGGCACCATGCAGATCGTGAATCGATTTAGATGTTGATTTTAGGAAACTTGAGCGCTTATTACCGCAGCATCATCAGCGAACTGGAACATATGGTTTGGGTTTAAGATTTGTAATGAAACCAAATTGCTGGTATTTGTCAGTTTTTGTATGTTGAATAAAGGTATTGATGCACATATTAAAAATTAGAGGACTAAGACAGTCTCCTTGAAGAACTCCACGACCGATTGTTATAAATGGGGTAGAGAATTCTGATGTTATAAATGCAGTATTGAAGTCCGTATACAAGCTCTTTATTATTTCACTGACGTCTTTGGGATTGTGATGATAATCAAGGACAGATTGAATTAGATTATGATATGCGCTTCACCAAAAGCATTCTTGAGATCGAGAACGGCGATGACAACAAAGCGCTCACTTTATTCTCGCATTTTTGTCATTTGAGCGGTGTGTTCCAAAGTGCCAGACAGATTGGGAGTGAAACTTTTTTAATCTGATGTTCAATAAAGTTATAGGCCATCAGCCACTCAGCAGATTTTGACTTTTCGTTTCCCCCACACAGAGACAACAATTTGACTGTTGCAAATGTTGCTTAAAAGCTTATAAGGTCGAATAACAAAATGTTGTAATCGATAACACCTGCAGTTTTGCCAAAAATTGGCCTTCAAAATTATGTAATTTTTACATTATGTCGTCGCCATTTTTTCACGCATTTCGAAGCTGCGTGTGCTCCTCGCGCATACCACGAAGCAGTGCTTCCATTTGCAATTAAGAAAATTTGCAAGGAAATAAAATGCAAGGAAATAAAATTTACAAGGAAATGGCAATGAATTTTGTTGTCAGGAAGGGAATAAGAGGGATATTACGTTATTTCTAATAAATCCTAAGATTACAGCATTTTCCAAGCAAACTCGATTCAGAAAATGTCGAAAATCCTTTCCTGTAAAATGGAAAATCCGAAAAAATTTTGAGGGATGACCAACAGCTGGAAAATTTGTTGCGCATGCGCCAGACTTCCATTGAAACTTGAAGCTTTCCGTCATTTCCCCGAACTCCCGAAGAAATAATGAAATGTTCGTGGTTGTTGTATATTTTGGAATATCTGTTTAATCTTTATAATTTTTTTTGCTTGACACAAAGTAGAATATACTCTACGTATCCTGTGTATAGAATATCTCGTTTGAACAGCAATAGAATATTATAATCTTGGCAAAAACAAGAAGACATTTGACACGCTGAATCTGCTTTAGGGGCCGACCATTTAACTTTTGAGGGGGGGGGGGTGGTGGGTGATTTACTGCTGGCAGGGAATTTTTTTTTCTGGGATTGTTATGTGCAAGATATTTTTTTGATCACCATCACCATGTACGATTTTTTTTTTGCCACACTTTCTTTCGCAGCATTTTTTTTTCAATAGCTTATACTATTTAGATTATAGTTAACGTTGAGTTTTTTAGCTTCATGCATTGCTCTTAATAATACATTTTGCTATGAGGTATAACATTTGGTTCAGTGCCTTTTTTAAGGATGTCCAACTGGAGAGGACATAATTAGCGGGGGACCTGGAGAAGTTCCAATCTGCAAGTCTGTATCCAGGGCCGTAGCTAGCATGTATAGTTGGGGGGAGGGGGTAGGCCAAAAATTTGCGAATGACGAAAATAATTTCCGAATATATCATGGCATACTATTAGCCATGAAGGTGTTTGCTATTCGGAAAATGAAGACGCAATTTACAATTAACCAAAATATGCATAATTTACGCACAGACATATTATAGAAGCAGTGCGGTAGGGAGATTTTGTTTATTGGGGGCAGAAAACGAGGGCCGGAGGCCCGAGAAAATTTTTAAATTTCGAGTCTCTGAAATGCCATTTCCTGGACTTTGGGGAAGTTTTGACAGAATGCTGATGGTCAGAAAAAAGCGTTTTAGTATGACGAAATTTACAATTTGCTTACAATTTATAGTGACAATAAAATTTTGTTCTACTATTAAATAATTGCCGTAATTTTCCAAATGGCCAACCCGATTTTCTGAATATGTTGATTCTAAGAAAGTTTGGGGGGGGGGGCTTAATCACCCCCAATACCCCCCTTGCTACAGCCCTGTCTGTATCACTGCAGCTACCTACAGCATTTATATGCATGGTTTAACTAATAAGTATACGTCATAGGGCAGCAACAACTGAGTCGACCACCGAAGGTGCGAGCCTCTAGAGGGGTCTGGGGGCATGCCCCCCCCCAGAAAATTTTGGATTTTTTGAAGCTCAGATAAGCTATTTCCAGCATTTTGAGGAGTTTTCCAACAAGAAATTAACCTTACACCAGTCCCTGAAAATCAAACCAGCTGATCTTCTGGGACTGGTCAAATCGATCCCTGCAACCATGCTGTTTTGCAACATTTTTTTCCCACCAAATACTGGGGCAGGGTATTTTTTTCCCCAGTTTGTTAGTGCAGGTATTTTTTTTTGTCCAGAATAGCCTTGCAGGAAATTTTATTTCAAAATCACCTCCCCCCCAAAAGTTAAATGGTCGGCCCCTTATCTACAGTCATTCCTGCCAATGTTCGCGAGCTTGACAGCTAGTCTTGTCAATCGGAAAACAAGTACAAATTTGAGTTCAGACAGAAAGAAGTCACGATTTTTTTACAACTAACATATAT